ACATTTGAATGGGGTGTCTGCTTTGATGCTCTTGAGACATCTTATATGTCGCTAATCTAAATTGTTTGGTTTGTTTCACAATATACACAAATGAATCAGTGTTTTGTTAACTAAAATAAGGAAAAAGATTAATAAAGATGAGTCTTGTAAATGGTCTTGATAACTTTAAATCAGTAAATAATAATAATTTTTCCTCTTTGACGTTATATACCATTCATATTGGCTATTCATGGCAATGTATTAAAGAGCATATAATCTTTACCAATTGTCTGACTGTACAAGGAGTGGGGGGGGGGGGGTCTGTGATATAATTTCTTGCAGGAAATTTGTGTTACTAGATAAAATATTACCTTGGTTGAACCGGAATATGATACGCTCACACAATTATAGACATTGTACGGTTGGATGGAATGTGAATTTTAATGGGATGATTTTTGAGTTTGTTCAGTAACACAACAAATATGAGCATTTATTAATAGACAGGCACATATATAAGGCAATCTGGAAAATTGCTTTTTAAAAAAACTTAGCTATGACTTACTAGGAAACTGTGTATAATAATGTCGTTAATGACAATTATTAACAATTATCAATTTATTTCCTTCATGAATTAAAGTATACTTCTTAAATATTTATCATAATACATGTAAAAAAAATTTTCATTGTTGATTACTAAATTCCAAATGTATGTTCTGAGAACTTACATTGAATTGTTGAGGAAAATTGCCCAGTTACCATCATGATGGTAAAGTTCAATGTTGCTGAAAGCTTGCTTTTATGCCAAGATTTATATAGCACCAGCTCTTTGATAAGCTACAGATTTTGTCATTCATAGGATTTTCCTCTATTTCATTATGAGAATATCAACATTTTTGTAAATTTATGTAATGATCAAACTAAATGACTCATGTTAGAACTCATATCCTTTTCACCACCGCCCAAATTTGTTGTCACTTTTTTCTTAAATTCTTCAATGCAAGTCCATACATATATTTATGCAAATCAACATGTCTGATAACAAATTTCTCTCACTGATCAGCAATTGCTCACAATCTACTGTGACAATGTTACCCACAAGTTGTTTTATTAACTGAGACACATACATGTATACATGAATAGTTAATAACAGCAGCAGCAAACAACATCGTTATTTTATTTTCGGGTATGAACGATTTGTTCTTGTCGACCAGTTCATGCACACAAAACATAAATAAGTGAAACTTTTGCTTAGATATGTTGCTGTACTACTGTTCTTTAAGAACTTTTATACAATTCGTGTTATATTATTCTATAAGGAATATTGAGATTAATATAAAGTATTATTTGAGGAAAATTAATATTAATTATTTTTTTTATGTAATAATGATGGCTTCATTGTTCTCAGAATTGTTCCCACCTAAATTGTTTTGATATGCATGTATTATTATTACATTGTATCAGCACTTTTATAATCGCTTTTGCCATGCAACAAAAAAATTTAATCTGGATTCTCAATGGACTATGTTGTGATAGTTACATTTATGTTTTTGTTTTGAAAATCATTACCAATCCTGAAATAATTTGTAACATTGTTATTTGAATTTTACCATTTTGCATAAATATTTGTGATTAGGACCTGTAGTTAGTTTACTATACCGGTAGTATTATTTCTTATTTCTGGTTTCCTTCCGTCCACCCCCTTTATGTCTCCAACATTTTCTCAAAAATTCTGCAGCAGATATCAATAAAACTTGGCAGGTTGATGAACAAGTTTTTTTTTTCCAGATCTGAAAATCCTATATGGGTCTTATCAAGATTTTCATCGAAAATTACCTTTACCTACTGCACTGAGAGAACAACTGAGCATGCTCAGAATAAATAATTAGCTTAGATTGTAATGCTAGGGTTTTTAGTGTTGTCATGACCTGGTCATAACCTTGATCTGAATCAGTGATAGATGGGTTGTACCATTACCAATCTCAGTAGAAAATGAAGAGGGGTGTCAGGGCTACATTTTGATGGGAATTATAGTGGTGATACTGAAACAAACCCGGGTCCTGGTAATATACAAATACCTGAATTAACAGAAAAGTCAAGTTGTTATTAAAAGTACATCAAGGTTTACTCAGATTTATGAATGCAGTTTCTTGAGCATGTATGAGACATAGTTTGGTTGCACTTGTGTGCTGAGATTTTGGACCTGGGTCAATGAAAGTTTTCAGTTATCAGATTAAGGGAAATCACTTTATGATGAGTTGTACCCACATAGAGTACATATTAATTCAACTGTTTGCAGATGTTTGAAAGTTTTCAGTTATCAGATTAAGGGAAATCACTTTATGATGAGTTGTACCCACATAGAGTACATATTAATTCAATTGTTTGCAGATGTTCCATGCATTATTTTAACATGAGTATTTTATATTTATAATTTTGTTCAATGAAATGCGCTTTACACATATATTTTAATAAATTTTAACCCATCGTTAAAGATCTGTAAATACACCCTGGGCCTACATTTGTATAACAGGGGATGCTCTGAACTTGTGTTTTCTAAAAATATAGGGTTATACCAAGGGAGGGGGTTATGACTCGGAAAGTATATCAAAATATTTCCATAAAGATATTTGGAAAAATTTGGGTACTAGATTTTGAAATAGAAATTATCGTAGTACATGTTTACATGCTTACAAATGTGCAGTATAACATAAGTCTCAAACAAATTTTAAAAATGTTTCTGGTCACTGCACGAGTCGGTTAAAAATGTACTATCACAGCTTTTTTAGAAGATTTTAGAAAAATATTCAAAATACATGTAATAGCACAATTTTATGACAACAATATATTTATAAAAACATGTCCTCGCATCAATTTTGAAAAAACAAACTTATCGACAGTTCATCTGCATTTATAATATATATGTGTACAGTTGTGTGTGCATACATGTGAGTATGATTCAGTTTCATACATGTATGTTGCTGGTATGCTTTCATCAAGCCTATAGTAGTGGTTAGTGCTAATGCTAGTGTGCATGAGTAAATATGAACTCTTAAAAATATGGTGATGGGAATAACATCTTTTATTGTGCCCAGTATATGTAGATAGTTATAACGTGAAATGATAAATACTTTGAAATACATGGTATCACTCCATATCTATTAATTTTATAGATACCATTGGATTGACCAAACATAAAGCTTCTTTTAATCTTTAAATCACTAGTACAGTGCATTAATTTACATAAAATGTAGATGATTGTAGCCCATAAATCCCATAACGTTTGAAATGTTTATTCCTTTGCTAGAAAATCGATAACATATATATTCCAATATAATGTTTTAATCGCTGATGTTTGCAATACTTTGAACAAGCTCTTTTAGTTTCCATGGCAACATCAGCTTAACTGATGTTGGAATGTGTTTTATCATTCATATCACTATGTTGAAGAGGAATTACTTTCAAAGTATTGATTTAATCCAATTGATCAGTCCATAAGTTTTGAATTTATCTAATCCCTGGCCATACCAGGAATAAAGCACATTTTACTTGTTCCACTGATAGACTAACAGAATAGTGTGTTGAGTTTGTATTTGTTTAAAATAAGTGTTTCGTGGTAAATGAGAAAGTGGGATTAGTTCAGACTACTTTAAGACAGTTGAATGGTAGATCACTTGTGCTGGTAAATATTTCATACTCGGCAATAAATAACATGATTCACTTCTGTGTGGTGGAAATCTGTTTATGTCAAAAATTAATTCATCTCTGATCTTTTAAACCATTAACAAAATTGAAAGTTGATCTGACACAATTTTTCTTAGTAATTATCACTCTTTTTTTAATTTATGTTTTGTGTGCATTGTTGCCTTCAGGGGTCATTTGCCTGGATTTTCTTGTTATTTAGAATAATTAAAAGGTTTGCAGTGTTACATAAGGGTTGTACACTTGGTATATATTTGATATATCCACCTAGATTTATGTACACTGTTTATATGAATGCTTAATATAGTTCATGGATACTGTAATATTTGTTAAACCCCCCCAAACTTTTATTTATTTTTGGCTTGCCCGTAATGAAGTGAAGGGAATGTCATAATAATGGCAGAATGTCTGTCGTCCATCGTTGTTGTTGTAAACTTTTCTTGTGGGCATGATAACTCAAATAATATGCAGTTGATCGTTATCAAACTTATATATACAGTGTATGAGTAATCTGTGTAGGTATAGTTGCCCTTTATAGATTTTGGAGTTGATCTTTCAAAAATTGGGTTTTAGTGATTTTTGAAGTTTTTTTTTATAGTGTCTATTGGGAAACTTAATAGTGTTGGGGTTAATTTATGTGTTTAAGTGCTTTGCTTGCTAAAACTTTTTTTTTTTTTACTTCTTCATTTATTTTTTTATTTTTTTGAATTCTATAATTTTCATGTTTGTTTTTTTTCAAACCAAGTACTGACTGTGTGAATATAAGGGTCAGATTTTGTTTGTGTGTTGCTGCACATATTACACACTATATTATACCTGCTTTTGAATTCCTTTTATATATAAATTGTTTCTTTTAAAGAGTCATTATGAGTAACTTCCATATTATTTCTACATTCTAATTAGATGATTACTGTCAATCTTGTATATATTGTTAGTCTGTATGCATAGACAACCTTAGCCACCCTATGCTTTGATCTTCCCCACCTTATGCAGTGATCTTCCTTACTTGTGTAATGATATCCCCACCCTATGCTATGGTCTGCCTGCCCTTACATACAGGGCAAGCCATGTATAGTTTAACTATGTTCTTATTTTTATAGTTAAATGTAAAAATACTAAGCTTTCAGAGAGGAATATGGATATATTTACTTGTACTACGGTACATCAAAATTTACTATCATCATTTTGTTTTTGTTGAATCCCAAACAATGTTTTTATGTTGGTTTCTGGCATTACATAGGATCTTGCAGTGAACAGAAAATGGTTCATAAAGTTATGAATATATTTCTGTTTCACAACATTATTTATATTTTGTTTGTTAGAAAAAGAAGCAATATATAAAGATTGTGAAACGTGTTAAAGAAAAGTTACAGATATCTAATGCCAAACTGGAAGAGTTGGAAATTCAAAAACAAGCATTGAAGTATGTATATGAATATATTTTCTATATAATTATGTGTCATTGAAATTTGAATGTACATGCTCACTATACAATGATGAAAGGAATTTAGTGCAATGACTCTACAAGTGAAATCATTTTAATAGCAATACTATTGCAATATGTTATACCTAATAGGAAGTTGTAATTTGGGAGATTCTGGTTAGCCATACTACTTATGCTACAAAAAGTTGTATTATCCAGTCAATAAATGTTTTATTATGTCCATATATAACATAATGACTCGTGAAAGAAGTGAATTTTGTGGCATAGTATTTCAATTAGCTTGGCTTGATGTGGATTGATATCATATATGTGATAATGGAAAAAGTTCCTTAAGGCTTCACATTTATTAATTTTTGTTAGTGATAAGAGCAAATTTAATAAGCCTCTTACATCATGTCAATGGGAATGGTGATATTAAAATTCCCATATATGAAAATAAAACTGGGCCCTGCATGACTCGTTAATTTTTTGCATAGCTCATTCATCATTTTTTTTCAAAGCGTTATGAGACAGTACTAGATGTTTGCCAAATTGTTTTATATTGAATTGCGTAAATGATTTAGATGAAATTTCTAGTCATTTAATCTACTTGTAAACCTACAAGTACATGTAGTTGGTAAACATATACCAGTACAATATTCATGTGTTGATGCATAGACCTTAGAATGAGAATACCAAAATGTCACGACATCCGGTGTACAATGTAAGTTATTACCACTATAAAACAAATAATTAAGCCTAGGACGCTGTATGCATCAATCACTATAATGAGCTTCGTAGTTAACAGTCCATGGTTTTCGCAGTCCATGTTTTTATGTGTTCTTCATCTTATTTCAATATGAGATCAGAATTTTTTGGTATTGACTATCATATTTTTGAGAAAAAAAAATATCATAATAAATTAACATATTTTAGTATGTTAGGCATGTTTTAGTTTTGCAACTACATTTTAAATCATGTACCGTAATATGTTTCATGTTCTGATTCAAAATAGCTGACTCATTTCAGTTTTGTTTATTATTTATCTAACACTGACATGACTTGTTAAAGGTTAAAACAAAAAATTGCAGTAGTTGTCGGTCCCTCTCATTCTAAGATCTATAGTTAATGTATAGTTGTTCACTGTGATTTTAGGCAACAATAAATAGTTGTCCTGTCTACAACTATATGTATTAGTTCCACTCACTGTGTTTTACATCATTTTAAATACCTCTACAAAAACTTGTATGATATACAATGCAGAGGTTTATAGAGTTATAGACAAATTTCACTAAGTGGGAGGTTGAGGGGCAGTATTTTCATTACTTGTTCTTAACCCTGTGTTGTTAATCTACAGCATATACACTAGGTCTACTACCTTAAGTCACACATTTAACATTTGCAGTTGACGATAATATAATAGAAACTGAACTAAATCTAAAATGATATTTTTTTACAGAAAAAATGTACCGCAAGAAACGTATGTAAAATTGAAACGTCAGTTGCGGGATATGTACCAGCGTCATCAAGAATACCGTCATCTCATACTCAACGGTGCAGTTGGTGAATTCAGTTTTACACAAGCAGCAATGCCTCTGGGTCAATCCACTGGGCCTTGGTCAAGTCTTATAGAACCGGTAAGTATTTTGAGTCTATTCAGTAAAAATTAAGGAAGTTCTTATTTTATTAGCCTCATTGTCAACTTTGTCGAGCGAAGCTTATCATATGAGTAATTGTTTGTCGTCAAATTTTTACTTTTTTACTTCTTCTTGAAAACTACTAGCTTGATTGCTTTGATACTTTGTGTATATGTACCTCAAGTGAACCTCTCTCAGATTTGTTCATTTCATGATGATATCCTTAATTCTCTAATTTTGGTGAATATTTTTGTAATTTTTTGTAAAAAGGGATATTTTCGACTTCTTGTTGTAAACCGGAAGTCTGATTGCTTTGCTACTATATATATAGGTACTACAGGTAGACCTCTCTCAGATTTGTTCATTTGGTGATGATATCTTCAATTCTCTAATTTAGATGAATATTTTTGTCATTTTTTGTAAAGAGTGATATTTTTGACTTCTTGTTAAAAACCACAAATCTTATCGCTTTGATACATGTACTATATATAAGGGTGCCTCAGGTGGACCTTTACTCAGATTTGTTCATTTTGTGAGGATATCTTCAATTCTTCAATTGAAATGTGCATTGCTAACAGCAGAGCTATCTCAGCTGAGAGGCTACTTGTATATATAAAAAATCCTACTAGTATTAGTCGCTCTGTGGTGTATTTTGGTAGTACCGGTACCCATTAGGATATGGGCCTTATAAGGACATGATAGTAATTATGTATGGAATCTGCATATCTCTCCTTTCTCCTCAATACAATACATTAATTAATGACATTTTGTTTTGTATAATCATTGATAGGAAAACCAACATCAGCAGGATTTGGCAGCATTGCGAGAAAGACTGGATAACTTAGATGGCAATCAGCGATTACAACTTGATGAGTTAATTGGTAACATGGAACCATCTAAGCTTTATGATAATGATAAAGAAAACGCATCCAGTGTTGACGGAAAACACACTGATAATGAAAATCTTTGATTCTTCTATAAATTAAAGTTGTTTAAAAATAACAATGGAATAAAGGATATGAAACAAATAACAGTGTAGTTCAGTTTTTGCCATACTCATAGTACGGTATGTACAACTGGTGAGAATTTAAATTGAGTCAGTTTTTTAAAAAAATTGAATAACCATGTTTTATTTTAGTTGTGCTTGAAATTTGTATAATATGCAAAAACTGTTTTGAAATTCACTGACAGCAATATTTGCTGTATTTAAATACATAATTTTTATTATATCACTGTATTTTATATTGTTGACTCACAGACAATAATTTTTATATTTCTTTATCAGTTTATATCATTATTGTCAACATATTTTTTTGTTTTGTTTTTTTTAAGCAATTTGTGGGAGATTTTTAGTCATTCACGCACGTGGTCGATAAACTTATCACATTAAATTTATGGAATCAACATCTATGGTACTTGCTAGATATCTGCATCACTAATAGCCGAGCTGTATTATGGATTTGGTTGTGATGGTTTTCAGTATCTGATGGTGTTGGCAAGTCGCTGAATCATACTTATGATTCTCAACAATCAAATATGAACTACCGGTATTACAAAATCAGTATTCAATGCCAAACATTCCCCATTCTAATTAATCTGAGGTGTACAACAGATCTGTATTGTTTCCTATATAGCGATTAGCTCCTCCTTTTGAAAAGAACTACTACATTACTCATGATTATTATTGCATCTGAGAGAACTTCATACAATACTAACTGAATGTTAGTTGCGTTCACCATGCACTAGAAACGAAATTCGAACAGCAATGCCCAACAGGATTTGTTGTAGTGAAGACAAAGGATTGTGGATAAACAGCACAATACACCAGATTTTGATCAGTATAATTCATGAATGTTTTGCTACCAATACAACTCTGAAATACTGTTAGCAATTTAATTTTCAATGATAGATATTTAGAAATTTCAGGATTCTATGGCATCTGTGAAAACAAAATTCTACGAAAGTGTCGTCAGACCCGCAGGAAAATGTTCACTGCTAGAACATTTCATGATTTTCAATGACTTGCAAAATTAAAGCAGTATACAGTACACTGTGTTTATGACATGCATTGTATTTATTTATCCTGTCATCATGGAAGAGTTTGATTTATAATGAAATTGCAGTATTATTGAAATAATTTATTCAGGAACAGGTAATTTAATTTACAATGTGTTTGATTTTGCAGCAATATTCCAATATGGTACTTGTAATGTATACTTGTAATGTATAAAGCTATCTCCATAATTATGCCAAATATGGTGCATTTTTTTTCTCGTGTCTTGTATTTGCTGGAGTAATTTATTAAAATATATTCTGAAATTAATTTGTCTAAAAAATGCAAATTTCACACATTTAACCACTTTCCATACAGTACTATTTGTATTTTTGTACATGGATTACAAAATTTAATCATATAAATCGGTGTTCTTGCATCTGTACAAGATCTATGAATAAAATAGATAATTTATCAAAAGCATTCGTTTTTACTCTTATTTTGAGTATCGAATATTGATTTCATTTTACTAAATTACAAATTCTATAACTTGTAGTAAGATATTTTTTAAGATCACTATATTGCATGATTTTATTTTGTGTCTGTGATGCACCAATGAATTAGAACTAGGTGTGTCACAGCAAATCAATGGCACGTCTTATCAGCTAAGAGAGCGTATACTGCTGAACTGGGAGGTCCCACTAAAGATTGAGCTCGGTAGGTAGCTCGGTGGGCAAACACTGGTCTTTGTCTTTTTTTTGTACAGGAACCCCATCTCAAGGAGGTTCTATCGGGTATAAATATAGATAATTGTGGCAAGTCAACCACTGGCTTCCCTGAACGAAGCCCTACCAGATCGTGTTTTGGAAGGTTCTGCTCTGTCATCAAATGTGGACTTTAACTATGATCTTTTTCGTAAGGTTCTTTAGCTTTGGCGGATATTCTAAGAACTTCACAATGAACTTCAATCAGTTTTGAGCTACATTTTTTCGGGATGATGTCTAATTTGTGCTTGTTTATATTTTTCCTGCGCAGATTTCATTACTCCAAAACTGTAACATTCAGTATTCCTGTGTTAGTAAAACTCGTGTCACAACAGGTTTTGTATATCGTTGTAATACTGTTTATACTGTGACTTTTTTTTTATCATGCAAACATTTACAGTTATCAGAACTTTCCTGCTACATGAAACAACAGTAAAATGCTCAAAATTTGACATCCGTCTGTTTAATTTCAGACCACTAAAAGAATAATTATTTGAAGTTCACTTCTTATTGTACATATATTCACATGGTTTCATATCTGTTTTTAAACGGTGTGCGATTGTATCTCTTCGATTGTAGACTTATTTAAAGTTCACAACGTTACACAAACAGACTAGCCACTTTCATGATTTATAGCTAACGAATACAATTATTGCAAATAACACAACTAAAGTTATTCAGAACGAGGACGTACAAATTGTCCAATATTTGACACGCAAATTATTCCCCCCTATGTTTGCTTAGTAAGCTTGCATGCTCCAAAGATTCGCCAAATCTAATGACCACGACTTTTTTTCTCATTTATTTCCCTTAGTCTTCATGATCAGCGAAAACACAGTAAATGAAAAAAATGTCAAAGTAAGCGAGAGCGCTGTGAGAACAGTGTGAGTACGAACGTTTCGTGTATAACGTACATTGTCGATCGATAAAAGTAATTATTTAATATTGACGGCATTGTCGCTGAACGACATCCCCAGCTGATCGCTGTGATACTTTCATCTTATAACAATTAAGATAATAGCTTAACTTAATAACACGTGTTCGCCGACAGTCACATTCTGCGACCCGCTCCAATATTTCATTTCCAGCCACATGCTATCAATAAAGATGACATATATCGGTATAGAAAAAAGAACCTGCATTTTCATCACACTTCCTACAAACGCCAGCCAGCCATGGGCAACGATCATGGAAACGAACAAAACACTTCCATCAATGGCCCAATCATGTAACCATGACAACTTAAAATATTTCAGCAAGGCAGAACAAAGGCAGATGACACTATTTTACTAGATTATTACTTGTGAATATGCCGTGTTTAATATTAACGTATGCGAAAAAAGCGGATAAATAGGTCTGGTATATAATTAGCAATGCAAGTAACAATAAGTGGAAATACTAAATTGATGTTACCTCATCTAGTTTCATCTCATCTGGACAGGTGACATTATTTCAGCCCATTCAGTCCATCTCCAGTGAATATGTATTGTTTACAAATATACCTTTAGTAACCACATATTTCTGTGACGTTAACATGGATTATCGGGATGTAATGCCGTTTAAATAGTATTTCGTTTTGAATATAATAACAGATTTCTAAAACAATACAACAGTATTTTGTATTGCTAGACGAGAATATATCAAAACTGTGCCCTTTACACTCATTTATTTATAGGAATGGTTTGTCGTTTACTTCGAACGAGAGTGAAATGTAACATTCAACTCACAGTGTATTATATCAACGTGTTGACTGATTGTAGGGAAGCATCATCGTGTACTTTAACTTTCATGACAGAGTGAAGCTGTTCAAACATGTGATTGTACGTCGTTCGTCAACAATTTCTATCACTATTTGACTACTTCTTGAACCACTAGCCCGATTTATTGGGTATATTGGATATGCAGTTGAATGAACACAGCTAGCAAAATTGCTTCCATACTTTATAAGATTTCTTCATTTCATGCCAATAACTTCAATTCACCAATTTCAGTGAATATATTGTAATTTTTAGTAAAAAATATTATTTTCGACATTATTTTCTTGAAAACGACAAGCCCAATTGCTTTGATATTACATAAGTATGTACCTCTATCCAATTTACTTTTTTCTCGACGATAACTCAATTTTCTAATTTTAATGCACATGTTTGTCACTTTCACTTGGGGAAAAATGTTCTTCTCAGATTGCAATGATATTTGATATGCACTGTGTGGACCTCCATCGTTCTTTATACAAAATGCAAACTTTATAGATATATATATATATATGTATGATATTAATGGAAATTAATGATCTCAATTACTTGTATATTATGCAGTGAGTCCCAACCGTTTATCATTTCATAAACCATGCAATAGACGTATTTCTAAGGTCTATGATCATATCGGTAACGTAACTACTGTATAAACGTTTATAAAAAATAGAATTTTTTTACCTTTCAATAAATAATCCGTTGATCCCCTTATTTGTGATGAATCGTTTAGTTCTCGTCATTAAGTGCATTAAAAAGACATTCCCGACGATTTTATACAGCGATTAATGATTGTCTGGTGAGTATGTTTTGCGAGATTTATAGAATCCTACTGAGAAATGAAAATTGTCCGCGGCATTTAATTATCTTGCAATTTGAGACAGTAAAAAGAACATTGGCATTAAATAAGTTGGTGATCACCAAGCTATTCATATATTAGATATTAGTTATACATATAGTAGTGTTGTTATTTTGTCCCCTGTTATTCATGAACCATATGGTAAAAATCTCACATTAAGTGCGCGGGGACTACAGTGAACATATTATATTGTTATTTGTAAATTCCAGATGTTATAAATATCTTGAGTGGTGTTCTGTGGAAACTACCCTTAAAATAGTATATGAAAACATTTGGCAATTTCTCTTACAAAATACAACTTGTTTGCAATTTGGTACACATACGTATTGTACATACAATGATATTAATTTGAGCATTAATGAGCTAATATTCCCTTATACTACATCAAAAAACGTAGCTTTCACATACGCTTAATGTAGCCTCAACTTGAGTGGGCGTAACATCACTAATACACCAGTTACCGATCAGCTCAGACATCAACGGGACTACAGCCATCTCAATAAAATATATTACAAACGCATCCCAACGTATCTTTAGTTGAACGGATTAAATGTAGTATTTAGAAGAAAGATATAAGCTTAACTTATACAATTAAGCACGCATGTCCGTAAGCTAGCGGATTAAGATGGTAATTGGCTATTTGATCTGTATGCAGACTGTC